GACGTAGACTTCTGGTATCCACATCTTCCACCTCAGAATGTGCTGAGCTGGGAGACTCTGACGGGTAGTCACTTGGCAAGGTGTCTGAATGTTCACCTGGCATAATAAGGGCAGCTTCAGAACCTGAAGAACTACCAGTAGCCGTGGCTGCCGCGTGCGCTCGAGGAATCTTGAGGCCTTCAAACATTGAAATGTTACCCAGACTGGAACCAGACAGTTTGGTAATCTCGGAGCCAGTGCCTGTGGAAGAGAATGGGTGCCTCCTGACCACTGTGACTCTCCGCTTCTTGAGACAGATGTACGAGCACCCAAGACCCAGCAGCAGCAGCGACAGAAACAAGATGGCGCAGATGATGAGAAGAATATGAAAACCTTTCAGTGGTGGCTCTAAGACAGATGCAGGTGGAATTGGCTCCAAGCTGCAATTTGAAATGAAAAATTTACATTTGACTCTTAATTAAATTAAAATCAATTTTCTCAAATATACCTTCCAGCTAAAAAGATAAGTGTGAATTATAGTTTTTTTGATATTCAGCAACGGTTTGTTACAAATTATTACCAAAGAATAGGTGTGACGAATGTTCAAGCATTAGCAAAAGATATCGAAAGAAATAAACACTGGGAGCTGGTTAGAATTCACATTATGATGCTTTTAAAGGAAGATGCATACTCATGCCAGATTACAGGTTGCGGGTACAGATGTGTAAAACGTGACAGGTATTATAAGCAATGCTTGTGTAATTCTCATAAAAATTGCCTAGTTTATGAACCTCACATATGAAGATGGCTTTCTTCTGGGTTTTTTAGTTGATGAGTGCTCATCGCCCTGATGATGGAGACAACAAGGACGAAACGCTGGTAAAGTTATACCAGATTCCACGACGCAACAACCCAGAAGACAGCATCTTCGGATTCACCGCCGTGAAAACCTCAAATCCTATTTAACCTCACATATGATGACAAAATCGGGTAAACAGAGTCTGCTTATTATTCGAACTTAAAAAATTACAAGTGGTATAAAAATTTGGTACATGGCAAAAGAATTTTTTGTGAAATCTGTAGTATTACTAGCTTTTCAATAACAGATTTCTGTCTGCAATAAACAAACACGATACCCAATAAGGTATACAAAGTCACAAGGACGATATTCTTGTAAAATGTCTATACTCAGACTGGATTAGGGCCTTTTTCCATTCATGTTTTCATGTCATTAAAATACTAATTTGAATTTACATGTCCTTCATCTGTGTGTATTGCTCCTATCTTGTTCTAACATTTTAGTAGTTAATTACATTTTGGCATTTTAAAAGCACACTCAAAATCCCAATACTGAGGCCATATCAGCGCGTTGAGTGTGTAAAAGACTGTTAGCGGTTAGTAGAGGCTTACATGGATCTGGGAAGCCCTGCAGGTATTGGCGCAGTAGGCTGGGGATATCTGCAGATACTTGTGATCACCTCGTCACCGTCCACCTCGAGACCCGGGTGGAAACGCATGACGATGTTGTTAGTGAACACGCGGGTAGGGTCCTATGAAAACACAGAGGTTAGTAAATGAGAGCACTCACATGGGAAGGGGCGCCAGTGGGGGAGGTGCCACGGGGGGAGGGTAGCGACACACGATGGTGATGATTTCGTCGCCATCCATCTCAAGTCCTGGGTGGAACCGCACCACAACATTGTTCGTGAACACCCTCTGAGGATCCTGTTGGAACAGAGCAGATCGCAGATCATGAGCCCACACCGTACATCATTCAGGCACACATAGGAACACATTTTATTTACTTATTTATTTATTTAATGTTTGTCATCAGACGCCCCAATGATAAAGACAGAGATTGTAGCTGAAACGTCGGAGAGTTTTAACCATTTGCCAGGGCTGGTAGCCCGAGAGATTTTGTTACAGTGTCAGAAAGGGTGGGAATAAAATCTGGATTGTTTCAAACCGAAGACCTCTTGCATGGAAACCCAGCGTCTTACACCTAGGCTATTAGGTACACGTGTAGGCTTTATTCTTATAAATCGAAATTACTTAAAGTTTCTAAGACGTAATAAGTGCCATTTGCTGTTGTTCATATCCTTTATTTGTTATCTGCTTGAATTTAATTAAAGTTGTCTTCTGTAAGTTGGTGGATAAATGGGTGGATGCATACAAATTGCTGCGAAACCCGGCTGTCACGTAGAATGTGTTTCTACAGATAAAACAAAATAAATACAAATGTATGATATTACTGGATAAACACGTTTCTGAAGAACTGGAAACCAAGATAAATATTTCTGTGTGTGTTCCAGAAGAATGTTCCCTAGGTACCATAACAAGAATAAGACAACGTTTTCTGCCCACCTGCTTAGTGCCACATCCTTTCAATGGTAACTCCAAATTATAGTTGATGCCTCCTTTGCCAGCCACTTGGCAGGCGCTGTTACGGTCAAAATCCGCGTAGGCTATCCCGAAAAAGGGTTCTTTAAATTTGAGTTCCACCTGCATGGAGCCTGCCCCGCAGTTGAGGGTCGCCTTCGTCCTGTTCAGAAATATGACAGACGACAAGTCATCCAGTTTGGTCACTTTTCCGTCTAGAGTGGCTGAGTCTGGTAAACCTTCGCCGGTGTAGGCCACGTCATTGGCGTGGCTTGCATAGTTAGACTGGGATAGGGCGTCTGGAATTGCCAGGCACAACAGTCCCACCGTCGCGACGACGGACGTCCACCTGGACAACATCTGCAACAAGTGTTAACCATTTCAATCTTGGAGTCTGATTCATCAAATGGATGAAGTGGGAAATTTAGGATCTGCGTAACTAGGAACGTAATTATGTACGACACACGGCGCCTAATATTGTTAAGGTAGTGAAATCGAATACCATGATATGCTGGACCTGTAGTCTGAGTACAGAAAAATAAATCACTTAATTTATTAGTCAATTATAGACATTCTCCAGAAATTTTTAATTTATAGTTTTATTTTTGTGCAAATAAGACCAAATTAAATAGAATTGCTAATAAAAATTTTCCGATAAATCTTAATGTGTGCTTTCAATACCAAAACTTATTTTCGGTGATAAAACATGCACACAGTCAGAAAAGACCCTCTCTTTATGTGCTCGCATATACATACGGTGAGAAGAACACACAGTAAAAGCCATTTTATTTGAACAAACAGTGGCGTGGAACAATGCCTTTTAAGGAAGACCTAGTCGTCGCTCTCTGGAGGTCATCCATGAACGTGTAAGATATTTCTGCATACGCTACTATCTCCGTGAAAGGACGTGCAGTGGGCGTGAAAACCCGTTGGATTTCCTTTTTATACTTTTTTCATTACATATGCATAAGCATCTCTTGAATATGTGTGCATTATGCGTGGATGTCCTTGCATGGCGGTTTACAATGACTGCTTTGGCAAGACGTGATGTGTGTCCGCCCCAAAGAACAGGTTTTCAGAAAGTCGCTTTCTACAGACAGTGTTCGACTGCTCTTGGACAGTTAAGCAAGCTTCTCCCTATGTTCTGGAGATTTAATCTTCAGACCATCACGACGATACCACAAGCGTTTGATCATTCATTTTTTATTCGTTCTTTTTCTGAAAAATAAATAAAATGAACGCGTCGTGGGGAGGTCATCCTTCCATCGGTCTGTTCGCGTCTTTCATTCCCAAAAACACTGAAAGGATTGGAATTTAAAATATCCTGGAATCTACAATAAAAATTGTCTGAATAATTACATTTTTGTAACAGATGAATGCAAACAACTGTAAAATGAAGCTCATAATTTTCATGTGGTGTATTCTTTGTTTGTTGCTGTTGTTGTTTGTATGACAGCAACAACAAATTCTGCAAATAAGAGACCTTCTGGTGAAGCTAACAGTGGCTTAGACGGTAAATAAGTACAAACTCGAAGAGTAGCCACAAAAACAAAAAATAATATATACTACAGCGAGTTAAAGCGGAATATTATTATAATTTTGGGGAAAGCATAGCCTTGGCCACCCCTGTTTATTACTGAAGACTCGCACTACATTTCACGCCTTGTGATTTCGCACACTTTTCAAATGTCTAACAGCATCAGCGATCCTAGACGGAACAATTCCGTTATATGGTCCCTCGTGAATTATGTCTGTTGATTCAACATGACCCTTCCCCCTGTACCATCTCTTTCAAAAACTTTTCCCAATGATTTTACAGCGTCTTTTATACCGCTATGTTTGAGAAACAGACACAAGGCAGACAGTAAACTTTATCCCCAGTGCAGGTCATCAAAGTTAGCCCAGTTTTGTATTCCAGAAAAGAACGCGGCAATAAAGATAAACCTGTAATATATATCAAAAGCGTCAGTTCTAGAAGTGAAGGAAACTAGTGGAGAAATCAAATGCAGGGTTCAGGTGTGAAAAGAAACGCCTGGATGTAAATGTTAAAGCATATAAAGACGCTCTGTGGGTGGCAGACACTTTGCTTTCAACGTGCCAGCTAGAGGCAGGTCTTTATAAAAGAGATGATTCTGAATTTTGTTCAGAGCTTCTGAAGTCCGTGTTTTACAATGGATATCAGGAGATTTATAAGAGCATGGATAAGTACATACCTGTTCAACTTTAGAACTACTCACATCCCTATTAGAACGTATCAAGCCTGTAACCAGACTACGTAAAACAGTGAAATGGCATGCACTTGAAAATGACTTCTGGGTTGTTGCACCTTGTAGTGAGGTAGAAGTTTTCCGACGTTTCAGAGGTCCTTCCTGCCTCCATCATCAGGGCCCTGATAATGGAGGCAGTATCACGACCCAACAACCCAGAAAACAGCCATCTTCATTACTCACCTCCATGACAATCTGAATATCTCACAAATTATTTCGTTATTTTCACGAATTTTTAAATTAACATGATTTCATTGAGGTTTAGTCCGGAGATTCTGAGTTTATAGACAATCATGAAATATACCCTGAAGTATTCTGCTTGGTAATTTATAACAGCTGTATCAGACATAATCTACATTAATCTCGCTATAATAATCTTGTGTTCAAAATATGAAAGCCTGTTCTAGTTATCTGAAGGTCGGCTGCTTGCCAAAGTGGTCCGCAACGCTTATGTAAATTACCTTTCACTTACATTGGACTGGACATTACAACAGACATTTACAAGTCGAAGTCCTGTGTTAAAAGACGAAGTCAGACACTTTTAATGGGGAAATAAACATTTAAGTTTATATTCAAAAATCTATTTAATAACATTAGTAATCAACTCCACAGAGCCGAATTCTTCTTGAGAAGTTAACAGTACGTTCAGTTAGTCAAGAAACATCCCGCCGTTTATGAAATCAATAGGGCCATTACCATGTTCACAAGAGCCTGCATCCGCTTGCTACACTGAACGAGATGAA